TCCTATAATTCGTGATCCTAGAGAAACTAAATAATAAGGTGAACCTAAAGAAAAACATATAGTTATCCTCCTGGATATTGGAAGTTGACAAAATTTCCAAGTAGGGGTTGGGAGCACGGGGGTGGGGGTGAGGTGGGGATAAGGGGAGATAGGGAGTGAGAAGGGAGAAGGGGAGGATGGGGAGAGCTTGAGGGAATGGGCTGGTTGGAATGAAGGAGGGTGTATGTGGGAGCAGGGGAGTATATATCTTAATTAAGGGAGCCACTTTAGGGTTGGCAAGAGACTTGGCTCTACAGGGGTTCTCAGGTGTCCAAGGAGATGTCCCCAGCTTGTTCCTTGAGTAGCAGAGGAAAGGGTGCCAGAACTGGCCTTGTCCTATAGCCACACTGATGAATATCTTGCATATTACCGTAGAACCTTCGTCTGGTGATGGAAGGAGATAGAGACAGAGACCCACATTGGAGCACTGGACTAAGCTGCCAAGGTCCAAATGAGGAGCAGAAGGAGGGAGAACATGAGCAAGGAAGTCAGGACTGCGAGGGGTGTGTTCACCCACTGAGATGGTGGGACAGATCTAATGGGAGATCACCAAGGCCAGTTGGAATGGGACTGATGGAGCATGTAATCATGCCGGACTCTCTGAATTTGGCTGACTGAGAAGCCAAGGACAGTGGCACTGGGCTTCTACTGCATGGATGGGCTTTGTGGGAGTCTTGTCTGTTTGGATGCGCACCTTCCTGGACCTGGGGGGAATGGGGAGGACCTTGGACTTCCCATTGGGTAGGGAATCCTGACTACTCTTTGGCCTGGAGAATTAGGGGGATGAGGAGTGGGAGGAGGGGAGGAGAGGGTAGTGGGAGGAGGTGGAAATTTTTTTTTCTTTGTTGCCCATCATCTTTATTTGAAGTAAATTGATGCTGCCAGGAGCAGACACTTCTCACTGTCATGAAAAGCCTTATATTATTAGAACATTTTATTTTTTTATTTAATTTTTTTGAAAGTAATTTTATTAAATTATAAAAGTTTCCATTTCCGCCCCTCTTCCCAACACCCTCCCACTCCCCCCACTCCCTCTCCTCCTCTCTCTTCATCCCTTAGGGCAGTCAGGGTTTCCTGCCCTGTGGGAAGTTCAAGTTCCTCCTCCCTCTCTCCAGGTCCAGGAAGGTGAGTATCCAAACAGACTGGATCCCCAAAATCCAGTATATGCAGAGGAAACAAGTCCCAGTGTCATAGTCAATGGCTTTTCAGAAAGACTTCGGGCCAGCCACATTCAGAGAATCCGGCCAAATTCCGAGAATCTGGTTAGATCACGTCCTCGTTCAGTCCCAGTCCAACTGGCCTTGGTAAACTCTCATTAGATCCGTCCCCTTGTATCAGTGGGTGAGAGCATTCCTCGCAGTCCTGATTTCCTTTTTCATGTTCTTCCTCCGTCTGCTCCTCATTTGGACCTTGGGGGGCTCAGTCCGGTGCTCCAATGTGGGTCTCCATCTGTATCGCCATCCATCGTCGGATGAAGGTTCCCTCTGATCTTGCCTTCCGTGCTCGCGTTCTCTTTCCTTCTGCTCCTCATTTGGACCTTGGGGGGCTCAGTCCGGTGCTCCAATGTGGGTCTCTGTCTGTATCGCCGTCCTTCGCCAGATGAAGGATCTATGGTGATAAGCAAAATATTCATCCGTATGGTTATGGGTCAAGGCCGGTTCAGGCACCCTCTCCTCTGTCCAGAGAACAATCTGGGGATCTCTCCTTGGACCTGGGATCCCATATATAATCAAGTCTCCTGTAAACCCTAAAATGACTCCCTTAGTTGAAATATATTCTTCCCTGATCCCATATTCATCCTTCCTCCCTCCCCCCATCCCAGGCCACCGAGCTTTACCCATTCCTCCCCTACTCCCTTCTCTCTAACCCTCTCCCCTTCCAACAACCCCCCCCCCCCCATGCACCGGAGGTTACCTGGTACTCTTGTCTATTTCCTACCTCCTGGCGGATAGCTAAATAATCTTCCTCAGGTTCATCTTCTTATTTAGCTTCTCTAGGATCACGAATAACAGGCTCAAAGACCTTTAATTATGGTTAGAATCCACTTATGAGTGAATACATACCGTGTTCCTCTTTTTGGGTCTGGCCGACCTCACTCAGTAAAGCGTTTTCTATTTCCATCCATTTGCATGCAAAATTCAAGATGTCATTGTTTTTTACCGCTGAGTAAAACTCTAATGTGTATATGTTCCACACCTTTTTTAACCATTCTTCTATTGAGGGGCACCTAGGCTGTTTCCAGGTTCTGGCTATTACAAATAGTGCTGCTATGAACATAGTAGAACAAATGCTTTTGTAGTATGTTAGGGAATCTCTAGGGTATATTCCCAAGAGTGGAATTGCTGGGTCCTGAGGGAGGTTGACTCCCAGTTTCCTGAGAAACCGCCACACTGATTTCCACAGTGGCTGCACAAGTTTGCATTCCCACCCACAATGGATGAGTGTTGGAGGTGGAAATTTTTAATAAAAAATAATAAATAAATAAACAAATAGTATCTAATAATGCTCCTATTGGCCTACTCATTTAAATGAAGAATTTTTAGTAAAAATTTAACAATTTGTAATTTATTTAGATACTCTTAGAAAACTGTATTACTACTTTAAAATTTCTACCTTGAAAAGTTGTCCCTTCTGGTCCTTCTATAACTGCACCCTCGTGAACATTGCTGTTTTTAAATGGTGCAACACTAACCCCCAAATGTGTGTCATCCTGCACTCACTTGAAATCATAGATGAGAGTCTAGTAGGGTTGCAAACTTTATAGCTATTTCATGTAGAAAAGTTCTTAATTTCAACTTTAATTGACTTATTCCATTTGAAATGTATAAGATTCTTTTGAAAGCTTATTATCTCAGTAGTTATTAAAGGTCCCATACTAGTTTTAATGTGTAAAAGAAAATTAAATTGACCAATCAAGATACTACCATCCTAAGCTTGAAATCACAGAAGCCTCTGAATTATTTGGGCTAACTGGCTGTCAGAGACATTTTGTTCAATGTAGATAAACAGAAAGATGGATTGGTAGTCAGATACAGAAACAGATAGAAAGGAAATAGATATGAAGACATAATAATATCAGTTTATCAACATCTCATAGCCATCAAAGTCAACAATGATTTGCCTCCATGTTATAAATATACACAAACAGTCTTCCCAGTATAGCTAAGCCAGTAACTGTGCCTTTTGTGTCCTGTCAATATTGGTGAGTTTCCTACACTATGTAAGAAAGGTTGGAGTTGGTAGACCTTCAGAATGTTCAGTCAACCCCTTCCACTATCATCAATGGAGTATACACCTGCCCTACTAGAGCCTGGTTTGTTTGGATGCTCACCTTCCTAGACCTGGATGGAGGTGGGAGGACTTTGGACTTTCCACGAGGAGGCTGACTGTTCTTAGGATTGGAGAGGGAGGGGGAGGGGGAGTGGGAGGTAAGTGGGAGGTGGGGAGGAGGTGGAAATTTTTAATAAATAAATAATTAAAAAAAGTATAGGATTTTCTTTTGATTTTATTTTCTTTCTTAATAACTTGTTAAAGAATGCAGCATTGAAACATAGTTTTTCTTAATTTTATTTGTTTTCTTTTAATAAATATACTCAGTTGCACTCTATAAATTACAAAGACCCATTCCCTCTAAAGGGTTTCGAAAAAAATTCCCTTTAATTAGCACTTTATTCACGTTGGCAAATCTTCATAAGCAGAATCTGTAGCACAGTTGGATAAAGGTACAATAGAGCGTTACCATTTTCGCTGTTTCTCCTTCTCTGTGATATTATGATGCAATCATAGCATTATTTAACAATAATGTTAATGGAATCCTTGGATGTTTTCCCTTATTTTCATTAAGATCATGCATGTATAGTTTTTATCAAATAATGGAAGATATTTCTTCAAATGATAAGTAAAATTTACACTAGCGTTGTGCTTTTCAATTGTTTACAAGGTTTCTTATTTTGCATTGGTAATATGTTATTGAAATGAAATTTAGAACATCTGCTCTCTTCTCTACATCCTCTCCTGGGGAGCAAATTGTCTCCTTTAATTGCTAACATGACAGATACACCAGGCTCCTTAAAGATTGTTACGTATACCTCATTTTGTACCTTCATTAAATGTGTTATATTTCTGTTGTACAAATTTGTCATATCTACATGCAATCATGACAACATAAACTGTATTGCTGTCATCTTCTTTCTATATGTGCAGTTTACTAGCACTATAAGAAACTTAAGACACTGAAGAAGAAATGAAATTACTAAATAATGTAAAGACCTCCCATACTAATGGATTGGCAATTCTAGTATTGTGAAAGTGCTTACCATTACAAAAAATCTATAGAGTTATTAAAATCCTCATTAAAATCCCATTGTAATTCTTCATAGAAATGGAAAACCCATGAGCACTCTTCTCATAAACAAACGTATAAAAACAACTCAGATGAATGTTGGCTGTGTTTTGTGTAGAATTTTTAACAATTTCTGAAATGGTCTTAAATAAACTTTGTCTATATTGTGTAATTTACACAAAGATGTGACTATTGTAAAACAGAAATATTTATTAACTCTGTATTGCAAAATTTTCCTTGACCAAAGTATTAAACAAGATCTTAAGGTAAGATGTTTTGTGACAATAAATAAGCACACCTATGTCATAAATATGTGAATTTACTCTTTAACAACTGAGAAAAATAATCTACATTTTAAAAAAACTGTTTCAGAGACTCATTGAGTAAAACTCTTGATCCACAAGCATTAGGGCCTGAGTTAAGATCCCTAGAATCCATATAAAGTCTAATGTGATAGTGCAAATCTGACATCTCAGTGTTACTAAGAGAAGAATTTTTAGATGTGAATGGGCTAGTAATCTGGGAAATCCATCAGTGAAAAACAAGATATCCTATTCTAAACAGATGAGAAAAGAGGACTAGCACACAAAATATGAGGCATAAAGACAAATTTGCACAATCAGAAGATCCTGCTGATCAACGTTTTCTTCAGGGCAACTTTAATATCTTTGTTCCTCAAGCTGTAGATTAAAGGATTCATCATGGGAACCACATTGGTGTAAAAGACAGAATATATTTTCCCTTCATTCATAGATCCATCTGTGGAGGGTTTGAAATACACAAATGCACCTGATCCAAAGAACAGAGAAACAGCAAGAATGTGGGAGCTGCAGGTACCAAAGGCTTTGGACCTGCCCTCAGACGAACTGATGTGGAAGATGCTGGAAAGAATGAAACCATAGGAGATAAAGACAGTTGAAGTAGGAACAATGATGTTGATGCTGACAACCACAAAAATCACAATCTCATTGACATATATGCTCGAGCAAGAGAGTTGGAGCAAAGGAGGAATATCACAGAAGTAGTGGTTGATGGTGTTGGCATCACAGAAGGTCAGTCTCAGCATGCATGAAGTGTGAGTCACAGCAGTAGAAAATGAGATAAAGTAGGAACCAAGCATAAGGTTCAAACACAGTTTAGGAGACATGACAACATTATACAACAGTGGATTGCAGATGGCCATGTAGCGATCATAGGCCATTGAAGTTAACACATAGCACTCAGAAACAGCAAAGAAGATAAAGAAATAGAGTTGGGTCATACATTCTGAGTATGTAATTACATTTTTCCTTAATATAAAGTTCATAAGCATTTGGGGAGTGAATACAGAACAATAGCAAATGTCTATAAAGGATAAGTTAAACAGAAAAAAATACATAGGGGTATGGAGGTGAGAATTCAGCACAGTTAGAATTATCAAACAGAAATTTCCCAATGCAGTGACAAGATACATTCCTAGGAAGAGAAAGAACAAGGGCATTTGAAGTTCAGGTTCTTCTGTTAGTCCTACCAGAATGAATTCAGTCACCAAAGAGAAATTTGCTGAGTTCATTCTTCTCTCAGGGAATCTGTGGACATGGAAAATAGAGCTGTATTAGAGGATGATCTATACTATTCATGAGTCCTTCCCACCTGTGAGGTCTATGTTGGAAATTTTTCTTCTAGTTCAGACTAATACAGATTCAACTTGTTCTGTCAGACATGGATTACTTAGTATGTTTTCCAATGGTACCACATTTTAGTATTATTTATGAAAAATTTAAAGAATACACTAAGACTGATTCAACCCTCTCCTATCTCCTGTCTTTATATACTGCAATCTGAAGAACAATAAACATAGAAGCAGATTCATGTATGCTACACTGCTGGTTGCTGTTGAAGTTCCAACTTTGCTGTGGTATGAATAAAAAACTAAAAGAAAAAGAGAGAGGCAAGGAGAGAATGTTTCCTGTCCCCTTTGTCACAGAGTCATGGCTCTGGAAAACTTGAATTCTGACCATGCAGGAGAACCCCAGTAGAGATAATGCAGCTCCAGTAACAACTGACACCTCCTACCATTCTCTGATCTCCCTGAATCCTTTCTTTTGCTGGCTTTACTTTAGTCTCACTTGACAAATGAAAAGGGAGATACTTGTTCAAGTCCATAATATATTAAGAAATGCTTAAAGGATATGAAATTGAAATGGAGGGAAGATAGGGAGAATCTCCAAAGAGTTGAAGAGAAGAAACTGTTATCAGGATAACTTATGTGGCAAAAAAATCTATTTTTGACAAAATAAAAATGAAAGACAAATATTTAGTTTAAAAAGGAGAGAAAGGAAGTAAAAGAAAGAATGAACAAAAGAAAAATAAAGAAAGACTGTTTGCATGCTTTAAATTCAGAAACTCACAATTTTTATTCCACATTTTGGAAATTGCTTACTTTCCCATTTATCCTTGCTCATGGGTATAAATATCCCATATTCAAAGGTTTTAGATCTTTCCATTCAAAGAAGATAGACCCAAGACTTAATTTTCCTGGACACATTTCCAAATTGCAAAACTTTATTTCTCATTAAAGCTTTGAGTCTTTTCTGAAAGCAAGAAAGAATGAAAGAGAGGAAGTAACCTCAGGATATGCGTGACTATAAGAAGCACAGAACAATGTCTAGACTCTTTGTCAGAGGAAAACAAATAAATCAAAGAAGGAGCTGAGGATAGGGAATTACACTCTGGATCACGATCCTAATTTCCTGAGGGACCCACAATTACACGCATCCTTTTCATTCACTCTAGAGAACATGTATCCTTCAGTGTTGATAGAGAGATAGCCTTTTGCCTTCCCAATTATTTTGAGATCTGATGGGAAATCTAAGTTTGAGTTTCTTTCTCTCCTACTTCTGTAGTAAAGTGAGAATTAACCACAGGTCCCACTCCTGACTAAATTCTGTGTCTGAAAATTGTTGAGTGTTTATTGAGTCATCTCCAGTGCTGAACTACCATAAACATCACAGATGCTATTTAGAAAATACTCTCCTGAACAAATATGATACTAGGAGACCTGCTCACATGGAAAGTGGTAAAGAGACTGCCTTGGCCCCTTGATAGGACAGAAAATTAGGTAGGCGGAGTAAACAGAACAGAATGCTGGGAAGAGGGCTACGAGGCAGACGCCATGGAGCCAGCCACCAGGTCAGACATGCTGAATCTTTCCCGGTAAGTCACACCTCATGGTGTGATACAGATTATTAGAAATGGGTTAATCAAGATGTGAGAGTTAGCCAGTAACTAACTCTGTAGAGATAATGGACCAGGCAGTATTTAAATGAATACAACTTATGTGTTATTATTTCTGGGGCTAAGCTAGCCGTGCGGGAGCTGGGCAGGATGAAAAGCAGGCCTGCCCGCAGCCCCTCACTACAAAGTGGAGATCTCAAGGGGTCTCAACCCCTGACAAAGAACTAAGAACAATTAAAGCATTTTGGAAGTGATATAAATAGTCTGTTATAGGGAAGAAAAATGCTTAAGATGGTTTTCTAAAATCAAGGGGTCAGCAGTAAACTCATAAAAGGAAGTAAGTAACATTACTTGGACTGATTGATTATATTTAGGAATTAGGAATATATATATATATATGTGTGTGTGTGTGTGTGTGTGTGTGTGTGTGTGTGTGTAACAACAATTAAGGAAATAAGAAACATTGAGTATATAGAGAGAGCAAGAAGGTGTGCATGGGAAGGGTTAGAAATGGGATGGGTTGGAGACTGGAAAGGATATTGAAAAAATATGCAATGATATTTTAAGTTTAAAAAAAGAAAAAAGATATTAGATAAATAAAAACTCTAAAATGCTTTAATAAAAAGAATAAAAATAAAATGTAAATGAATTATTTTTCCAGTTCACTTGTTTACTCCAAGCATCCACATGTTTACCAATTAACTACCTCCAAATTAACTAAATTAATTATCTCTTTTTTATTTTTATTGCTACATTTATGTAAAAATCTGTAAATTAGTCCAGTATCAGTAAGTCAAATACTATTTTTATGTCTGGTTGTTAATAGATTTTATAAATAAGAATAAAATTTTATATGTACATATGATATGAATGTATCATAAAAAAGAGGACTAATAAACACTGAGATATAGACATGAAAATGAGAAGTGAAGAGGTATGGTCAACGGTTTTATATGCAAATATTCCTATGTCATATTTTATTATTTACAGTAAATATATATGATGCCAATTTTAAAGGTTAATAATCTTCACCTCAAATTACTTATTAAATAGCATTACATTTAATATTCATACACAAAACTTCAATCACTTTTGTTCGATGTAAAACATCTAAGATATTTATAAATAAGCCTTTCAAGATTTGAAAAATACAGATTTGCAAGGTGTGTTTATTCTTTAGAAAGACTGCACACAGACATTATAGACTTAGAAACATATACAAAATAAATGAATTACAATATTTTGTAAATTACATCATACAATAATAAGTATAATAGTCAGGATACACAAGCTTTTGTATATTCTAAGATGAAGGACAATTTCTTACAGAACTGAAATAACGTAAAACTATGGTGATGGAGGAGGGTCTTCTGTCTATTTGTTACTTTCATTGATTAATTAATAAAGAAACTGCTTGGCCTGATAGGTCAGAACATACATAGGTGGGTGGAGTAAACAGAACAGAATGCTGGGAAGAAGGCAATGAGGCAGATGCTATAGCTCTCCTCTCCAAGATGGACACAGGTTAAGATCCTTCCCGGTAAGCCACCACCTCGTGGTGCTACACACATTATAAAAAATGGGTTAATCAAGATGTGAGAGTTAGTCAATAAGAGGCTGAAACTAATGGGCCAGGTGGTGTTTAAAAGAATACAGTTTCCGTGTAATTATTTCGGGTGTAAGCTAGCTGGGATCCGGGCGGCGGGAATGCAGCCTGCTCCTTCCTTTTGGCGCCCAGCGTGGTAATGAACTCCACGTAAAACCTGAGAGGGCTTTAAAAAAAAAAAAAAAGGGAAAGAGAGTTTAACACAGCTTTTTGCTGTTTGCTAGGACATGCTGTAGAGAGATTTCCTGTTTCAGCAATAGCGGCAGAAAAAAAGCTGTGTCATTTTAAAACATGGCTTCCTGGGCTGTGCAGCCAGTGCAAACTCTGGCTTTAAAGCATTTCAATGGCTTTTATGGGACTAGATGTTTGTGTGCCCGCTCAGGATCGGGAAGAAAGTACTCTGAGACCATGCCAATGGAATGGATGAAGCCTGAGATGCCCTTCCGTTATGACTGTGAACTGTGTCTCATTATTTCTCGTGCCTCCGTACTGGTCCAGTTAGGGAAAATAGTTTCTATGTTGGGGCATATGGGCCCTGACACACAATAGCATCATTTCCAGTTAAATTTCTCAGAACATACCAATGTCGTGAAATAATGAAGGACTATATTTTGAAATAAGCAATTTTTCAGCCATATTGACAAATAGGGTGATGAGAAAAACAAGCAAAATAGGCCTATCTGAGACACAATGAAATTAAAACTTTTCAAAAACTAAATGAAAGAAATAGAAAAACATTGAGTATTTGGAACAAACACATATGTTAGTTGGATTTAGTATGTTGATTTGATGAGTTTTCTCACTGTAGGTTATTTCAGTGGAGAAAATTTAGGCAAGTACACACTTGCATAATATGCCCAAAAATATACACCACAAATATATCCAATTAATTTTCTGTATTTTAGAACAAAATTTTAGATGTGTATATAAAAATATTCAAAGACAGTTACTAATCAAGGAAAATGACTATAATATGCTGGGTGATAAAATCAACTCATGTTGTATGTATAGAATTATACCACTTTTTAAAATGGGTATACTAACATAAGAAAACTTTGAAAATATTAGTCACTTAGAAATATGTAGAATTATGCATAATTGTGTCTATTTTATGTATTTTTAAATGGTTTAAAATTATTTTATGTATGTATTAAATAACCTGATATACTTCCATTTCCTGGATAAAACATTCAATAAAAACAATATCAACCTAATAATTCCCCTAATAATAAAATAAATAATTTATTTATTTAATAACAAATTAAATAATGTTAATTTTAAAATGACAAATATACTTTAGTGTTTGAAGAGAGTGGGGAGTGCCACTCCATTTGGAGGTAAAATAGTAAATCACGCTGGTATTTAAGAAGTAGAAAGTGGAACAAAATTACACAATATATGTGAGGAAGTCTGGGTTTGTGAAGAAAGTTTCAGTGAGGCTAAAGTCATTAAAATCCAGGAAAAAGAAAATTGGTACATTTAAATCATCATAACTTTGTATTCCTAGGGCTTATTTTTCCATTTTTATATTCATATGTCTGTCTATTACACAGGTTCTTCTAAATATTTCATGTACATTTCAAACTCAGTATGTCTTAAACATCCATTCAATTTACATCCTCTGACCAGTGTTCAAGAGTTCCCAGCTTCTGTCTTCTTTCATTTCCTGGAATGACTTAACAGACACCATTTGTCATACATGGAAATCTTAATAACACCATACCTAGGACTGATGATGTTCACCACGTATCTGGATAAACTAAAGTTTTATTGGTTTGTCTTCTGTAGTCTCTTGACATTTCATCCACTGCCCATTTTTGATGTCTTGTGCTGCTCTGTTACATAGGCTGCTCTCCAAAAATCTGGCTCAAATATTCTTGCCAAAAGCATCCCATGTTTTGGGACAACAATCACATAGCCCTACACCTTGAACTGATTTTTATATAAAAACCATATAACAGCATTTCTAACTTCCACATATAAATATTCAGTTATTTCTACCCTGTTATATGTTATAGGGTAAAATAAACATCCTTATTTTGTTCTTGATTGTTCTTGATTTGTAAAAACTGTGAGTTCTTTGTAGATGTGTAGGTTTATTTCAGGACTCTACCTTGATTTATTAACATATGGAAATCTTTGTAGTATTATGGTTTTTTAATGTATATTAAACCTAGGAATATGCTGTCTCAACTTTTTATCCAGAAGTTTCTGTCCTACTTGGTTCCACACTCATTCAGTCCCAAAGAAATACACAAAGGTTTATGTTAACTATAAACTGTTTGGCCTATTGTTCAGGCTTGTTACTAACTAACTCTTACAACTTAAATTAACCCATAATTTTTATCTATATTTAGCCATGTGGTTTGGTACCTTTTCTCAGTATGGCATTCTCATCTTACTTCCTCTGAGTCTGGCTGATGACTGTATCTCTCTCTGCCTTTCCTCCTCCCAGATTCTTCTTGTCTGGTTGTTCCACCAATACATCCTACCTGTCTACTGACCAATCAGTGTTTTATTAAGCCAATTTAGTAATTTGTAGTTTGTAAAAAGTGCCACTAAGACTTCAATAGGAATTTAATTAAATATGTAAAGTATTTTATTAATACTTTTTTGAACTATAAACATGGATTACCCTGCAATTATTTGTAAGTCACCTTCATTTACTTTCAATAATGATTTGAGCCTTTTATTTCTTTTGTTAAATTTATTTCTATTTTTAATGTTATTATAAAGAAATTTTTAATTTTAATTTTTATATGTTGTCATGGTTTGAAATAAATGGTCCTCAAATGGAGTGGCACTGTTAGAAAGGGTGGCCTCGTAGGAGTATGTGTGGTATTGTTGGAGGAAGTATACCACTGTGGAGATGGGATTTGACATCTCACATATGCTCAAAATGCAATTCAGTATCTGAGATTACTTTCTATGACCAGTACATCAGTACTAGATGGTAGAACTCTCAGTTACCTCACCAGCACCATGTTTGCCTGTGTGCACCATGCTCTACTGTGTTGAAATGGACTAAACCTCTGAAAATGTGAAGCACACCATTAAGTATTTTCCCTTCCTAAGTGTTCCTGTGATCATGCTGTCTCTTCACAGCATTAGAAACCCTAACTAAGACGTATGTGTTGATAATGTCTAAATGCAATTCTTTTTTGTTGTTTGATTTTGTGTTCTGAAATGTCACTGAATTTCTTTGCCATTTTTAGCATCTTTTTCAGTTCTGCCTTTAAGACTGTGTAGACTTAATATCATTTTATTTGCAGAGACAATTTAACTTTTTGTTCCCTTCAATTTAATTAGAGCTCATGATTGATGCCTTTAATTTACTTTCCTGGGATACATGTCAGGGCTAGAACTCCCAGCTTTGTCAGGAACAGAAGTTTAGGAGTGAGAATCCTTTTCTTCTTGTTCCCTCTACCTCTCCACAACCATGGCTTCCAGGCTTCCTGTATATGATCTTTATTAGGATGAGAAATTTTTCACTTATAACTAATTTGTTGTGTGTCTTTATTATAAGAAGAGGCTTCATTTAGCTAATTACCCTTTTTACATCGATCAAGATGGCCAGAAAGTTTTGTAATTCCTTGTGTTAATACAGGTGAATATATTTAATGATTTGTTGATAACAAACCATGTTGACTGAGGTTTTTGTACTGCCTGGTTCCTGCAGTCATTAGTCCCAAAGAAGTCACACAGAGGTCTACATTAATTATAAACTGATGGGTCTAGTATCTCAGCCTTCTTATTAACGCTTATAACTTATTTTCGCCCACAATTCTTGTCTGTGTTAGCCACGTGGCTTGGTACCTTTTTTGGCGAGGCAATCACATCTTGTGTCCTCTGTATCTGGGTCACGACTGGAGACTGAGCTTCCCTTTTCCCAAAGTTCTTCTGTTCTTATTGCCCTGCCTCTAATTCCTGCTTGGTTTCCCTGCCTCTACATCCTGCCTGGCTACTGGCCAATCAGCATTTTATTAAATATAATACAAGTGAGAGGGTACAGACCATTGTCCCACAGCAAAACCAATCTTATATTCTGTGGAGGGCTGCAACCACATTCTCCATTACTTTAAGGGGCAGAGGTAGTTGACCTCTGTGACTTCAGGGTGTGGCAGTACACACCTTTAATCCCAACACAAGGGAGGCAGAGGTAGATTAACCTCTGACTTCAAGGGGCAGAGGCAGATTGACCTCTGTGACCTCAAGGTGTGGTAGTACACGCCTTTAATCCCTATGACTGGGAGGCAGAGACAGATCTCTGTGAGTTCAAGGTGTTGTAGCACACGCCTTTAATAACTTTCCACTGCTGCTGTCCCTGCCTACTCCCGAGGCGTCATCTGGGTTGATGGGCAGCGGACCAATCCAAGAGTGACATGTCCGAAGCGAGGACTGTTTCCTATATAAGGGACGGGTTCCCCTCATTCTGGGTTTCCGCTTTGGAAGCTTATGCTCTCTCTCTCTCAAGACGCATTAAAGCTTTTCTGCAGAAGGATCCTAAGTGTGCCGCGTCGTTCTTGCTGGCGAGATGGTAGCGCGGGACAATATTCTATAAATTAAATTGATAATCATGTTTAAACCATTTATACAGTTTTGAATAATCTGCTAATATTGTTTATAACCACTGTGTGTGATCATAGTGATAATGGTATATATAGATAGAGATATATCTATTATATATTGACTTAAGGATTGCAAAAGTTATATTCTTTAAATTTAATTTCTTTAGTTCAAATGGTCAGGCAATTAGTCATGTATTATAATGGCTCCTTGACTTGGCCATCCATGTTAACTCTTCAATATTAATTGCTTTTTTACTTTTATGTTTATTTTCATGGACTACATTCTAGACACATATAGTTGACAATCAAATCTCTTTGTAATAATGGTTAAAGACATTCACAATGTATAAGTGTATCTATTAGTACTAAGTTACATGTTTAAAATGCAAACAAACCTCAAACTAACTGGTTGAAATGAATGTGTGTGTTGGGAGATTGCCCAGTCTGTAAAATACTTGTTGCATAACATGAGCACCTATGTTATGTACCCAACAGGTAGTTATAATCTCTGTGCTGGGCATGCAGTGAGAGTATATATCCTGTGGCTAGTTGGCAACCATGGGATTCAGTGAGATGCTTTCTCAAAAAGAAAAAAAGGAGGCAGTTTGAATCGCGGTCCGACGGAGGAGTGGGCGCCGGGATCTCGCTGCGCGTCCGCCTGGCCTCGACTCTTTCTCGCTTATCCGATCTTCATCACGGTCCGAGATGGCTGGCGGTAAGGCTGGAAAAGACTCCGGAAAGGCCAAGACAAAGGCGGTTTCCCACTCGCAGCGAGCCGGCTTACTATTCACCAACACCTGAAATCTAGGACAACCAGCCACGGACATGTGGGCGCCACCGCCGCTGTGTACAGCGGAGCCATCCTGGAGTACCTCACTGCAGAGGTACTAGAGTTGGCAGAAAATGCATCAAAAGGTTTAAAGGTAAAGCGCATCACCCCACGTCACTTGCAGCTCGCTATTCGTGGAGATGAAGAATTGGACTCTCTGATCAAGGCTACAATTGCTGGTGGTGGTGTCATCCCGCACATCCATAAGTCTCTGATTGGGAAGAAGGGACAACAGAAGACCGTCTAAGGATGCCTGGATTTCTTACTATCTCAGGACTCTTGTTCTTAACAGCTGTCCAGTGTCAGTGATTCCAGTGGACTGATCTCTGTGAAAAACACAATTTTGCCTTTTGTAATTCTATTTGAGCAAGTTGGAGGCTTAGTTAGCCTTCCAAACCAACCAAATTTCTGCATTCGAGTCTTAACCATATTTAAGTGTTACTGTGCCTTCAAAGAAGCTATCGATTCTGAAGTAGTGGGTTTTGATTGAGTTAACTGTTTTTAAAAAACTTGTTTGGATTTAAATTGTGATGCAGAAGTTATAGTAATAAACATTTGGTTTTGTACAGACATTATTTCCACTCTGGTGGATAAGCTCAATAAAGGTCATATCCCAAACTGGTTTTAAACCTGCTTAAAAAAAAAAGAAAAAAAGGAAAGAAAGGAGGAGAATAACTGAGGAAAGCAACATGTGTCAGTATCTACCCTTTAAATACAGGAATATATATTTGTGCAAATGCAAACACACAAGAGATACGAATGTTCACTTGTCCTTCATGTATACTTCTCAAGGGAAGCAATCTGGCATGGGTGTGGGAGATTTGTAAAATAATGTTTCTGGAGAAACAAGTTCTTTCCTGTCACATGCATTATCATTGAAAATGTAGCCTTTATCTTAGCCCAAACAGACACTCAAGCACTGGCAATGATACTTCAAGCAGAATAATGAATAAAAGAGGAAATTAGACTGTGGTGCTATCACACAGCATGTCTACCTCTGTCTCTTTAGCTAGACTTTTGGCAAGAGAACATGGTGTCAAAAGGAATCTTCAAAACTAGCTATTTTTCAGGCATCATTGTACACTTGGATAATCCCAGCACTAAGAGAATGAATAATATTCTTCATTATAATATAATATAATAATATATATATTATATATAATTATATATAATATAATAATATAATTATATATAATATAATATAATTATATTAATATTAATATATGTTAATATTAATATAATATAATAATAATTCTTCATTATAATATAATATAATAATAATATTGCACCAATAGAGGGTTGGTGCAAGTTTGAAACCAGCCTGAGTGATACAGTGGGTTCTAGTTTGGGGTACTTAGTGAAAGTCTGTAAATAAAATTGAGTCTCATCTCAAATGTATTCGCCAAGGTCTGAGGTCATTACCATTGACAGCAGTTTCTTTTCTGGTGTAGAGATTCTCTAGGGTCTTTATATTGCAATTTAAGCTAGATGATATCAATTTGTTTATTAGAACGTTTACTTTGTAGTGTTTTGAACCCGTTTCATTTAAAGCAACAAAATATTTACAATGCTGGGGATTCTCAAGAATTCAGTATCTGCTTCCCTTTTGATATGCAATCATCCCCTCATGTGATTCTAGCCTCTTAAATCCCTTGGAAATTCTACCTGAAAACTTGTACCCCATGGAGTTAACAGAAAATAACTGTATTTACCCTATTCCTAATTAGCAGTTATTTCTCTTCATGTGGCCTTTATTAACAGGAAAACAAGTCTCTTGAGTTCCTACCAGGAAAGAAGTTAATTCACTCTTCCGATCATGAGAATAAAACCATCACCAGCCTTTCTTTTTACTGTATATGAACCTCCTAACACCTCACATCAGAGTGTGGAAATTCTGATTCAGTAAAATTGCTACAAATAACTTTATGATCCTAATGAGTAGCGTGTAAACACATAACATTATAACTTAAAGCTTTATTTTATGTACTTGCTGCTTTTTAACATATTGTAATAATATGTTAAACACTTTGTCACTGTGAATTTTACTGATGATGATTATTGCCAGAGCAAAAACAATTACTTTTCTCCTGATGAATCTGAACTCCTTTTGCATTTTGCATTGTCATGGTAGTAGCAATATAGTTCCAGACAGGTAATACAGTGGATTCCCTGATATGTGTGGCGTTCAGATAATTGACCTAACAATCTGGGTATTTTCTTCATACGTCAAACAGAAGTTCTGTTGTATGCTACATCACAAGAGTGCCATGAAGATAAAATAAGTTTCTACAACGTGAACGAACAATAAATCTTAACTATTTTATGTCCTTTCCCTGTGTTATTTTGCCTTTACTAACTGAATATTTTAAACTATTTGTTTATTTCCCAATTTAGCTCATCTGAGTCTTATTTTTTTTATTTTAGATACTCTGAGTCTATCTGCTATCTTGAAAAAATTGTGCTATTGCAGAGCAGGCCTGTTTTCTAAATAATGATTTACTATAATTCCTCATTTTGATAAAAGTATTGTGTGTTTGTGTGTGTATGTGTGTGTGTGAACATTTATGCATTGGTGCAGGTATGCATGGGGTGCTCATGTAAATGTGTTTGCATTTATCTGGAAGATTAATGCAAGCTTCAGGTGTTAACCCTCAAGTAACCTCGCATTTTGAAATAGACTTTCTCATTAGCTGGGACTCTCTAAGCAGGCTAGTGGTTGTTCAGAGAGTCTTAGGGACTTACTTTCTGCCTCCTACCTTCTACTGAGATTACCAATACAGACTGTCCTGACCACATTTTTCTAAGAATTTCTAGGACTTGATCTCAGGTCCTCATGTTGCAATGTGCTCTGGGGTAGTTCAGAGATTTCCCCAGTCTGACCATGAATAACTTTAACAAAGAGGCTTTTATTTATATATAGGTGGAGTCCTACACCTGGGACTTGGAATTCTAAACTGCAGCCACCAGACACCTCAGTCAGGATCTTTATAAGGCAAAGAACACAAAGATAAGGGGCTTTAAGAGGAATGTGCAAAATCCTCTAAGATGTCCAAAGATTTGGAGGGATGGGCAATGAGATGGGCAATGTTCTCATGAGATTGAATCATTGACTAGATCAGATGAAAAAGTCTTAAAGAAAGAAGGAAAATGGGGAGTTGAGAAGTCTCAGTGGTTAAGAGTTCTGGCTGGTCTACCTGAGAGCCTGGCTTTGATTACCAACAGCACACAGATGCCCTTAATTGTCTGTAATACCAATTCTAGGGCATCTGACATCTCTCACTGTTTTCCTGGGGCATTGCACTCATGTGGGGCACAGACATACATGCAGGAAAATCACCACACAATAATATACATGAATAAAAATTAAAAATGGTAAAAGTATATGAAGATCAAGAAAAGTATTGTACAGAAAGATAATAAAGGAGACAGACTAAACTGACAGAGAAGTAGGGGAAATATAAATCTAAAACCAAAACAAAACACCCAAAGTGTACGGATGGTAGACGGGGGTGGGGTGGGGGGAGAAGAGAGCAGCAGTGGAAAGGTTGCCATACCTCCCTCCTACTCTGAGTGCTCAGGGCTGCGAAGTCTTATTCAGGGCAGCGTGAATCCCACAGGCGCGAAGCATCATAGGCAAGAAGCATCTTGGAAAGCCTGCCTAGCAGGAGCCATGACTAAATAAGGGGCAAGATAAGAGGACTCTTCTTCCCAGCGGACACGGACCAGCTTGTCATCAATGACGCCAGTGACCTTGTTAACTGTGCATCATTCTGATGCACTTCAAGAAAAATTTCACTTTCCCAATACAATGTGAATCCCACGGTAATTGACTAAACCAACTAAATAAGACTGCAGTCTCTGTCTGAAGATGTGTGTGCATTTTCCCAAGTTGAACTACATCAGAAGGAAACTTTATAATCTAAGAAATCGCTAAAATTTTTCATGCAGCTGTGGAAATTATCGCAGCCACTATCATCCGATGCCAGGAATTTCTACACATCCCTGTTGGTGTCTCCAAAGGCCCACTGGTCATTCAAAACTGTATTGTTCAACCTTCACATCTTTTCAATTTCTCTTGCTATTGATTTCTAGTTTTATTGCACTATTATTTGAGAAGGTACAAGTAATTACACTGGTTCTTTTGTCTTCCTTCCTTTTTTATTTTATTTTATTTTATTTTTTGAGACAATTATCTCTGTCTCAAAGCCCCAAGCCATGTGACCCAAGCCGTCCTGGAACTTCTTCTATAGATCAGGCTGAACTCAAACTCACAAAAATCCACCTGCCTCTCCTTCTTAAGTCCTGGGATTATAGGTGTGCACCACCACTGCCCGGATCTTTTGTATTTCTTTAAAAATTATTATTTTATTTTATGTGTTTAAATGCTTTTATTATACAAGTCTTTGCTGCACATGCATACAATGCTCACAGAGGCCAGAAGAGGGCAGTGGAACCCCTGGAACTGGAGTTACAGATGGTTGTGAACCACCATGTAGGTCCTGGGACTCAATCAAGCCAGGGTCCTCTGGAATAGCAGCCCTGCTCTTAACCTTTGGGCAATGTCTCCAGCCAAGCATCTCATCTCTAATGTTATTAATTTTGTCCTTTTCTCTCCACCATTTCAATACTTTGGCTACAAATTTGTCAGTCTTGTTGATTGTTCGCAAAGAACCAATTCTTTTTTTAAAAATTGTTTTTATTTAGCTGTAAATTTTCTCCACTTCCCTTCCTTCCTCCCTTTTCCTCTTCTACCCTCTCCTGTGACCCCATGCTCCCAATTTCCTCAGGAGATCTTGTCTTTTTCACCATCCTATGTAGATCCATGTATGTCTCTATTAGGGTCCTCTCTGTTGTCTGGGTTCTCTGAGGTTGTGACCTGTAGGCTGGTTTTCCTTGCTTTATGTCTAAATATCACTTATGAGTGGGTACATATTATATTTGTCTTTCTTGGTCTGGGTTACCTCAGTCAACATTTTTTTTCTAGATCCATGCATTTGCCTGCAAATTTCAAGATGTCATTTGTTTTTACTGCTGTGTAGTACTCCATTGTGTAAATGTGTCACATTTTCTTTACCCATTCTTTGGTTGAGGGTCATCTAGGTTGTTTCCAGGTTCTTGCTATTACAATTCTGCTGTGAATGTAGTTGAGCACATGTCTGTCTTTCTGGTATGATTGAGTGTCTTTTGGGTATATACCCAACAGCAGTATTGCTGGGTCTTGAGGTAGACTGTTTCCTAATTTTCTGAGAAATTGCCATAGTGATTTCCAAAGTGGATAAACAAGTTTGCACTCTCACCTGCAATGGAGGAGCATTCCCCTTACCCCACATTATCTCCAGTATAAGCTGTCATCAGTGTTTTTGATCTTGGTCCTTCTGACAGGAGTAATATGGAATCTCAGAGTTGTTTTGATTTGCATGTCTCTGATGGCTAAAGATGTTGGGCATTTCCTTAAGTATCTTTCAGTCCTTTAAGATTTGTCTGTTGAGAGTTTCTGTTTAGGTCTGTATCCCATTTTTTTAAAATTAGATTATTTGTTCTTTTGTTGTCAAGCTTTCTGAGTTCTTTGTATATTTTGGAGATCAGTGCTCTGTTCAGTGTGGGGTTAGTAAAACTCTTT